TGACACGTCCACGTCCTAACCCTTTCCCAACTACTTGGTATTTCGTGGGTAGTCGAGTTTATCATCCCACTTAGTTCACGTTGTCCGTAGGTAGTGCTTTGGGACCTAACAAAATCAGACTGTTAGCTTAAGTTAGTGGGTCACTGGTGGTTCCTCTTCATGCAGAACCTAAATTTGAAATCGATCCTCGAAAGGTGCGTCCTTTAACTATTTGGTCCCCAAAAACATAAGCCAATGCAAATGCGCTTCATTCACAAAGAGGAATCGAAATTTTAACAGCATGACAAGGGCGGAGCAAGTAACGTTTTCCCCAAACATACTGCAGTGTGGTATGTACAGTGTGATTCACCTATGCAGTTTTGTCCCATTCTATGACCACAGGACAGATTTACATTGCTTTTGGAACTGAAAAGCCCATTGTAACTACCAGTAGTATTTAACGAAAAAAGGAAGCTGTATATTGATTATCGTTTGGTACACAGGTTCGCAAACAAGTTTGATTTGAATGAACTGATTGGACGAAGTAAAATTATATGTTGTAAGTGGGTTCATTGTTACACTTTCAGGGTGTCTGTGAGCGACTGATTCACCCAGAGGTGCTTAGGAATGGGTTTATTACGTGGTCTATCCCGCTGGACTGCTCTTGTATCAATGCTTTGAGCTTTTCATTGGTGGCACAATAGAAGACTGCATTTAGGTTGAAGTTTATGTACTTCGAAACTGGTCTCAACCCAGCCTAAAAGATTGTGCACTAAAAACTGGGCGAACTAATCAACTTTCAATAAGTTATTCTTTGAAAGACACTCCTATGAACACGCAATTCAGTGACTGAAATTGATAACAGGCGCAGTTTCTGTAACTGACCTCTTACATTTCACTTCCTATAATGCTAGGTCAAAAAGCAGTATTTGTCCCTTGGATAAAGCAGCAAAACCACCAACGTTTGGGCTATATTCACCTGGGTCAATCTCAGACTGATTAGCACTCTCCATTATACAATCAGTAGCGAACAATGCCTTTGATTGTGCGAATTAAATTTTAGGTCTGCAGAACTTAAATTGCGTTGCCGCAAGTTGGTTTCCTGTGTGATATCAATGGCGCCACATTGTTGAGCTTTTGGAAAGATAGATTGGTGTGTATTTGGTAACTCTGAGACTCAGCCCCTTCTTGAGTTGTGGATGCAGATGACCAAAAGTGTGTACTGAATTTTTTAATTGTTATATGTAGAATTGGGTATTTTTTAAAACAACAATGCTTTTAATCCCGAACCAAATTCATTTTACTTCCAAATTTAAAAACTTTTATCCAATCAACTGGTGTACTGGTACATGGAAAAAACTTTGAAGGGCATTTGCTTTCGATAATCTCTAGGCATCTTGCACTTTTCTGTGTATTTATTTTCTGTTATAAAAAATAATGCTTCCCCATGCTCTTTGAACTTGATTGTGGTTCTAAATAATTTGTTTGTCAGTAGCTTCAATTCAAAAGCCGAGTAGTATAAAATCACTTCGAAGCAAACAAACTCCGACAACCTACCTGGAATGTATATTTACGAGCTACACGTCTCGTGATTATGTCATCCGGTTTACTTCAGTTTTCGTGCCTCATTACCGGTTAATAACAAGAAATCTGGTACTTTGTCGTTTCTTGTACTGAATCCGGATGCAAACATAAACAAACGGTTGGATACTTTGTCTTCTGATTTGACTGTTCGCAAGATGGTAAGAATAATGAGTTTTGGATTCAATCAGCTGGAATTCTATAGAAGGGATCAGACGCTTCGTTTTACACCTATTAGGCACTGAGTTAGATTGCGTGGTGTTAATAAGCAATAAATGAATTATTCCGGACATTGATGAAGCTTGACGTAGACGAATGTGTTTTTAAATTGATTCACTAAAGTTTCACTTGTCTTGTAAGTCAAAATCGTGAATGCAGATAAAATGTTGTAAAACGGTTTGCAGTGCAAAATGCAGCTGATCAAATAAGCACAACTTTCCATCTGTAATGAAAATATCGTATGGTGAGACTCAATTCAAAGGACTGAATCAAGTTTCCCACAAAACCTGAATGCAACAACCATAACGAATCTCAGCATTCCAAGTGGAGAGCGCCGAACAACTCGGGTTGACTAATAGATACGATCCTGGATAATCCACTGTAGAGCGTCTGCAAATGATCCATGCCTATCATGATACAATCAACAAAATTTTGATTTCAGTCTGACAGCTAGAATTGGACTGGCTGACATATCCCAGACCTAAACTCATCACGAAATCGAAACGTTCATTGTATGAGTAGACGTTATTGACTGAATGCCTTGGGGTGATCTTTGAAACATCAAAACAACTCAAGAAATGAATCTTCTCAAAAAAGTCGAGTTATTTTGCTAATGAATCCATGGATAAAATTCCTATATCCTGAGACAATGGTTGCCAATTGGTTAGGTCACCAACCAGTGACCTGGGTATCCCGGGTTCAAACCGCTCCACCGCTGCCCGTCTTCCCTGTATCTGTATTTTCCCCAGGCAGCGTTTTATGGCCGCAGCACTCTTCCTGAAAGTTGATTGTACATTTGTTTATTCAATAAATAGAAATAGGAAGTAAAAGGACATTTATTTTTATTATTATTTCATTTTATATGATGAACAGAATGTATTTGTCCCTCGGTAATTCGTAAGTGTTTAGTTTGGGAGTGACTAAGCCATGTACATTATCGAACTTGAACGATTCGATGCAAATTTGGGTTATTTTTGATTTAACACTTCTAATGTGAAAAATACTCTTCCAAATAGATAGCAATTTCAGAAAAGCGTAATTTTCTTCCGTTGGTTTGAAATCAGCTCTGACACAGCGGTCTCACACACGCGATGAATTAATATACATACTAAGAAGTAGACTAAACTTTCCGATCCATTTTTCGAACTCAGTTTTCCCACAACAGTTTTTTATTCTGCGAACATTTTCAACCCACCTTTAGATATTTTGTTTGATTTGAAATTCACCTTCGATACGCACATGCACACATCTTTCCTGTTCCTGCTACAGGTGTGGTACAACTCACTCACACGACCAAATCGAAATTCGCGACCTGGATGCAAGCATAAAACTCACCCAGACTGGGCCAATTGATCAGCATACAAAAATGCGAATTAGATCAATTAAACCGGTTGCAATTGTCTGTGGTCGGGTAACAGAAACCACGATCGTATCGGATGGTCCCAGTTTAACACTTCATTTTATCTCGACCAATGCGAACTGGTTGAGAGGTGGAGGAGGAGGATTTGGATTTCGCGGGCGATATGAATTTATCGGCGCACATGACTTCCGAATTGTGACCGGTCACAACCGGTTGATCACCAGACAATTTGAAGCAAAAGATCAAGTGGCTGATCAAAGTAAGCATTTGAAAATGCGCCTGGAAAATCAGTCGACCTCAAATGGCATGTTTAACATCCACTGTATCCGATGTATTTGATTGCTGAACTAAACATTTTCTAGAACAAAAATAGACTGTATATTACCGAATTTTCAGGAAGCCCCCACAGATAAGGTTCTGAAACATTTCTGTTGAGGTTTTACCTTGATAATTACTGAAATGAACGAATGATAGCGTAGTCCAAAATAACACGGGTACCTTTGTTTGAACAATGCGGAATAGACGTTCATAGGCAAAACGCGGTTTCCGGCAAATGAGACAATGTTTCTACTACAGCACTGACTCAATTCGGTGTACATGTGTAACGAAACTTATGATACAGGTTTTCTTTACTGAAAATGCGCTCATTTGCAAGCCCCGAATTTCCTTCAAATGGTGAAAGGGAATGATAAAATCTGCAGGCAACCTCCTTAAGCAATCGCTCTGACCAACAGCGATCACACCAGAATCATACAGACACGTGTCAATATTCTCATTATTGTCTGTCTACCTAATGGGTTATTCAAATACCTAACATGCAGAACTTTCACGATTGCCCGCAAATGTTTTGTCCACTGCTTTTATCGCAATTTTCGTGGGATAATATTTTTTGTGACGTGTCTTTCAACTAGCTCCATAAAAAAATATTATATTTCTAATTCCAGACCAAAACTATTGTAAAATTGGAACACAAGTCCGAAGGCTGACAGTTGTTTTGGAATGATTCATAATCGTGCCTGTAAAGACCATATAATGATTTGTCGCTAGTGGGGATACATTTTCACCCCGGGTCGAAAGGTCATTTGGGATGGGGAGTGAGGAGGGGTAGGGTGAGTCCTCTGTGTCTGTAATTAGATGAAATCGATTGTGAATGGGATGTTGGTGATAGTGACGTTGGTGATTAATTCGGGCATACCTTTAGACACATTCTATCTCTGGTCAGCTCACTATACCATCAGACTACTCCTTCGCTCGTAGGAAATCCCCAAATAGTACGTAAAACGCCTGCTAAATACAGCTTGTTAGACATTTCCAAGTCCGTGAACATCATCAGCCAGCGGAAATTAATGAACCATCAAAGTCTCTCTGTGGATATAACGTCCTTGTTCATGATTGTACCACCCTTGGAAATGATCGATTTTTTCTGTTGCTACAATGACACTGAACAAATACAGATAGGAATTCGGACGAAAAATCTGAAGAAGATACTACTCAGATGTACATGCATTGTTTTATTTCTGTTTGATGGAAAATTTCACGGTCAAATAGACGGAGTGGCCTTAGGTTCCCCATGGGACCCCCTGTTAGTGGGTATATTCATAGCTAAATTAGAAAATACAACGTTGAAGTGAGAAATAGGGCAAATCAGTATATACTTCCACTTCCACTTCCACAATGTACATATCTCAAAAGAAAAGACCTTATCACAATACTGCACGCTTTATGTCCAGGACGATTTCGACGCATATCATCATGGTGCATAACGGAGAAAACGCGATACTTATATAGGAATATAGCACGGCAACAAATAAAAGTAAAGCAAAATAAAACAGACAAACATATATGTGTATATATTGTCTTACACAGGAAAAGAACACGAAATGATTGCTTTAAATATTCAATTATGCTCACGAATCGATTCGGTTGACGTTGGAAACAGAACAAAATGACGAATTAGTCTTCAAAGATGTAGCATCGCGAAAAGATGACGGTTTCTTACAGCGTCGAATAATAACTAATTTGTGCGGGGCAACATACACATTTTTGCAGTTTCGTCCCACTCAGACAGAAAGTAAATCCGATTCCGAGTCACAAATCACGAGCGCGAAGGCTCTGCTCTGACAATGTGGTAAATGAAGAACCAACAAAAAATCAGGACGTTTTTATCCAGAGAAACTTTCGGGAAAGACCGCAATCCGAACAGGTTCACGTGGCACAGAAGGAATTATTCGTACGTCCACTTTTTCAACAAGATGCGATAATTGATCTCTTTAGCAAACGTCTGAGGTGCGTAGTGAAGCGCATATACAACGCAGCTCGATTATCATGTGCCATAGGCTAGCCCATCACCCAAACCAACCAATTAGATAGGCTGAGTACGCTGGCCATCTATGTGGTTATTCACTCCTTCCGGTGCATTTGCAATGCATTGCACATTGACCGCACTACGAGGGTAACATCCTAACGGATGAAGAAACCCGGTCCACACTGGTTAAGACAAAGAGTTGGAGGGAGTATAGAAATTGCATTCTTGGTCATCTGGTGAATACATGCCATCACATTAGACCAGTACCCGCGTTTAGCGCGATCCATCGCCTACCCCTAACCCCTCTCATGCATTGCGCTTGCACACACTAACCACCACTGAGGCGATAGGCATTCGCCTTTTCGCACCAGGAAGTTGCGAACAAAAGCGACTGGTCCAGGCTCTTCAATTACCGTGGCCCAAAATTAATCACAAACACCAACACCCCAATCACAATTGATCACACCCAAATACAAACCCAGGGTTCACCTTACTCCTCCCCGCTCTCAATAACTAATAACCTTTCGGCCCAGCGTAAAAATGTGTCCTCACTGACAACAAATCCTTATATGATCTGTAACGGCCTGAGTATGAGGCATTTGAAAACAGTTGTCCGTCTTCGGGCTTGTGTTTCAAACGCAATTATCCACATAAATTGGAACGATTAGGACTGCTCGAAATACGGATGAACGTTATAAACCGTGTTCCACGAAGTTCTACATTCTTTTGTTTGAGTAATGAGATGGGCCATTAATCTCTCTAATCTCATTAAATCACATCTGAGGGTGGAAACAAATTTAAACCGATTATTCAAGCAATCACTTTCCGGCGTAACACAACACAAAATTGGTTTGATTGTAAATTCAGTGCTGGAATCACAACAGTTGCAAATAGCGCTCAGCGAAGCGGAAACTCCGTCCCATTCAACAGTGCAATTCATTCCTCAGCTTCTACTGTAGTGTAAATTCAGAACAAATAGCTTGATACACAACCACTTTTCGAAAATAGTGCTTCTTTCATTAAATCCGAAAAGGTCTGTCTTCAAAAGACCTTCACTTGATTGAGGGTGATCAATGGTAGTGAATGGCAAAAAAAATCTTTTGGATCAGAGGAAACCAACATAACAAAAACGAGTTCTGAAACTATTGCGATGGTTGTGACCTCAGAAAATGACCACATCGCATCAGGATGGATGATATAATTGACCAAATTAAATAGGAAACCCAAATCTTAAACTCCTTTTCGTTTGCATGAGTATCACTCCTTTTTGATTGTATTCACCAATTTAGTATGTATTCTGCTGAGTTGCCTACAGTCAATGGGTTCAACTCAACCACAGCAGGCAGCGGTGAATCGTTTAACATTCACAAGAGTAAAATATTTTTATATTGCCTTATATAAACTTTTGAGGCGTTTCCATAGTCTCAATAAAACGGAGTATATTTGTCAAAAAACTGTAGAATTTTGAACCAAGAATTTCCTACTTCGTTTAGCAAATCCGTATGGTCAGTTTCAGCTTTGTATATTCCAAACACTGTGTGACGTTTGTCCCAGTAATCATGTTTCGTGTATTTGCCCAAATTGATTATTTTGTCTTTAATCATAGTTAATGAATTTCTATATTCGTTTTATTTAATAAATCCTTCGGCTGAAATGTTATCTACCTAGATGTAAACTGTTGGTTGATAAACTACCGGTTAGGTCCATTAATAATGTACTGAGGACCTGACATGGTAGACGGTAGCTTAACACAAACCCAGTTTCTTTTTTACATCGATGCGAACTCCGTGGATTTGGTCAAGGCTATTTACATAATTAGTAGTCAACCAACGTATTCGTTTTAAGTCACCTAGATGCTGTATGCATAACACATTCATATGACAGCTTAAACCACAGCTGGAGTGCCACCACTAAGCAAAATGTTGTTTTACTCCTTAGTCATCTGTTTTCAATTGTTGGATCATTGACGATACAGAACAGCAGATATGCCCCAATGTTTCATTTAACTTGTTTATTCTCGCTACATCATACTGTCTGATTTAGGAGAAATGTCTCTCTCCGTTTCGTTGAGGCGTCAAGACCTCCCACTAAACAATTCATCTGAACCGATAAGCATCATGATTGTAGAGGTGGATTCAACTGTATTTGCATAATAAAACTAATTTATATACTCCTTACATAAGAATCATGGGGGATTTGAGATAACATTTTGATGGATTTCGTCGTATACCAGCCAAATCAATGTTGAGTGGGGCCCCCGGGACAGTTATTCCAACCTGGTTGTGTTTCCTCAGCCATGTGAATCATTTGACTCTTCTTGGGATCGAAATCAGGTTCTCACTGGTAGAATGCAAGCTTCTGACCCACTCGAACGCCGGACGGCTGATCACACGGCTTTTCATTTTCCTAATACACGAAACAGCACTGTCCATCCTTACAAGCCTAATGCAGGCATTGAATCTGGTGCACGTAAAGAAACTCCTGTTCCTGCTTACTATTGCGAATAGTTTCCGTTTAAATTCCCTTGCGCGTTTGTCTAGCAGACGTCAGCTAGCGGATAAATAATCCAAACTATGTGAAGTTATTGTGACGCACTTCCCCACTTCCCGAATTATCAACGTGGATACTCGTATATTGTCAGTTCAATTGAAAATAAGTGAATTACCACATGATGAGCTTCCGGATCATTTTCTCGTTTCGGTTAAGAGTATTGTGAATGATATCCAGAAAAGGGTGCTTAGACGTTAGCAATACGAAATGCACCCGAATAGATCCCTCACTATTTTCCGACACGACGTTTACACTGTTTAGGTGTTTGAGTACAAACCAAATAGAATATTGGTCACGTGTTCAGTTAGCGATCGCTTGAACCGTATGTCTTCATTTTGATTCTGCCCGGTGATTCGTTGACTACTGTTCAACCCCACCCCGTTAACTAAGGCCAGTGCGTCTGA